GGTCGTGGCAATATGCGTTTTCGCATTTGCATATTATGCAAAAACGCATAAAAAACTATCGAGCTTTGATTATCCTACAGGCTGTGTTGAATCTGCGACCGACTTCTGTACAACGACAATGCTACTTGCCACGAGGCCCAGCTTCCTCATCATAAAAACTATAAATAGCAAATCTGGCGAATACACTAGCACCCTTCGCGATCTAGTCAGCAATCTTTTCAGACAAAAATCGTACTGCAAGTACCGAGCACAGATATACTTCACGGACGAATACGACAAGAACGTCTGTACACGCGCTTTTGACTACCATTTCGATGAAGAGGTATTTGCGTTCAGAATGGGCACCTATCAGAAAAGAATGACATATACGATCTGGTCACAAGATATAATTACAAAATGGTTGGTTTTATTAGCTCGGTCAATCAGAATGCCGTCGGTCAGTTACGTGTTGTCCAATGAAGCAGCGAGTGGTCATCCACGTAATGAGGATTATTTGCTTACAGGAGTACAGCAGAATGCATGGTGTACGTAGTATATCCTCTCCGGGAAGCGAATTGCCATCGCAAGGATGAGTACGGCGCAGAGCGAATCAGTTATCAGTTTTTCGCCTGCACATGCACTGACACTGTAGCCAGATGGCTATCCTTTATGAATGTAAGTAACAATTCACTGTTGATCATTTCAGCATTTAAATTAATTCTCGAATTCACAGGTCCTGCAGCACTTCTGTGCTGCCCGTTTCGAGAATTTCCTTATTGCAATTTATTCACAGGAAACTCAAACTTGTGATAAGGATTTCGATAATTATTATAAGAAGTATGGCAAGACTGCGTATCGTCCTTACTGTTATGACAAGTACCAACTTCGACCGACCTCTGAACTTTTGTACTCATATGGGCCGCGAATGGTCCAGAATTTCAGTAATCCATACACCAGTATTCCTACAGTGGTAAGTTTATTGCGTTTGGAGTTAGAAAGATTAAATTTCTTTCTTAATTTGATTAATCGAAACATTATTTGACTAATCGTAGCACTTTTTTTTAATCGTTACATTCTTTTTCTTATTTGACTAATTGTTACATTTTT